CAGAGCCAGGCGGATCTCTGTGAGTTCGAGGCCAGCCTGGTCTATAGAGCGAGATCCAGGACAGGCACCAAAACTACACAGAGAAACCCTGTCTCAAAAAACCAAACCAAACCAAACCAAACCAAAACAAAACAAAACAAAAAAACATACACAAAACTTCCATGTTCTAAATCTCCTTGCTTAGGTGATTGTGCGAGCCTAGACACAGTGGTCTGCACATCCTTCCTCAGGGTCTACCCTAACTTCTGAAAGCATACCTGTCGGAGCTCGTCGGCCATGAAGAAGGAAGGTGCATTTGCTTTTGGTTGCATATAAGCAACATGAGGTGCAGTTGGAGGATAAATATGATAGTTTGGAAAAACCTAAAAAGGCAAGGAGGAGGAAAATGTAATCATCAATTTTTCTCAATTAGTAAGCTTTATCATTTTTATAAAAGTTTTGTATCTGAGAATAATAAATTTTGGTACATCTTAAATGTTTTAATAACAGTGAATTAAAAACTTCAAACAACAACTGTTAGAAGGAATACTTTCTGAATGAATTCATTTAAAAAATCTTCTATTTTAATAATTTTAAAATTTATTTTAAAAATAATTTTAAAAAGTCTAAGAAGAAAAACATTTACATAGCTGTAAAATTTCAGGTCCACTGCGAGAGTAAAACTAGCTCTTGTATAGAATGTCCTATTTCCACAAATTCAGAAGTAATTTTTAAACCAACTGAAAGAGTAGGCAGGGCCCTGTGGCCACCGACTGTCGACAGGCCTGCGCACCCACAGCTCCACCTCCTACCTAGCACACCACACTGGGCCAGTCACTCGGTGTCCCGCCCCACACTCAGACCCTTCTTTTTCTCCTCATCACCATTTTCCCACCCCACCCCCACCCCCGGAGAAATGAATTCCGCTGTTTTCTGTTGTCCTCAGGTAGCCATCTGCTGTGGGTTGCAACCAGGAAGTAGTTTTCCAGAGCCCAAGCCCACAGTGAGAGTAACTGCCTTTCTCTGGCCTCGGTTCCGTCTACCAGACAATTGGGTTCCCTACCTCAGGTTGTCAGAAGAGTGAAAACATCATAAACTATGTCATACTGGTCTCTACAAACCAGCCTCTACACAGTAAGTGCAATTTCTTCTTTCTACAAGCAAGAATTGTTTTAAAGTACCGAAACTTATTAAATTGATAAGAACTTGCTTGAAAGAAACAAGGCTCTACCTCGATCATATCTGTGTTCACTTTTCCATGGTTATGATATCACCCCGCCCCAAACAAAACAAAGCAAAAGACCTCCCAGAACAGTTCTTTCAAGTGTTTTGTAGTACTCACAGGTTTTTACATTCATTTCTAGAAGGCAGTGGGTACTACTCTTGTCATTTTACAAACAAGAAAACTGTCTCAAAAGTGCAGTGACTTGAGGGGAAAACACAGCAGAACTAAGCCTTACAACAAGGACAAAGAAACCTGTTTTCCTGTCACTCAAAGCATCTTTTAGCAAAATATTAAATTTAACCTAGTCTGACAATCAAACTGTGCTATGGAAACCTATATATAGTTTAATGGAATTTGGCTTTCTTAGTCAAGACTTATTTACTAAATCCTCTAGTTAACTTCTTTAATGTATGTAGCCCAACAGTGAGGCTGCAAGGGGAGGCGGCACTCTGTGCTGTGGTGGTGGTGCCGCCCAGCACTCCCCCCCCCCCCTTCCTCCTTTCACCCTCTCTTGTCACTGGGGATTCACTGAGAAGAAATCATTTCTTCTTGGCATGTTCTTCCTCTCTTGGTCTTTGTATGCACGTCTGTCCCCCAGTCTCCCTTTCCCATTGACTTCAGGATTCCCTTCCTGTCAGCAGTTCTTTGGCTCCCTCGGGTCAGACTCTCCCAAGGACCACACTATCAGCCTCTACCACAGCATGCCATTCTGCTATCTGGAACTCTGGCCTTTAATTATTGCTTTATCTGAGGCAACGGTGACTTTCATTACTGAGAGACTTCTTCCCCCGAGGTAAACCTTCCTCTCCAGTAACTAGAAACAAAAGTCAGAGAATACAACTTTAGCTAGCCAGGTGCTGACTAGGTAACACTGTGAGGAAAACAAGCCCCAACACACTAAACAAAGGATGGCTACAATCTGATTACTGAATGAAATTAATGACACTAGAATAAGTTAAAAATAAAATCCTTTTTCATATCCCTATAGCCCTTCCAATGTGAGGAGCAGCTTTCCTAAGAGCGCCCAGTGAGTCCCTCTTTCTTGGAGCCGTACCATTCCAGTCAAAGGTGCTGGAGTTGTATCTGTATAGAAGTACGTCGTCCCCCCGACAGTCTCCTTCTGGATCACCTGACCAGAGGATGGAGTCTGAGGAACGGGGTTATTGGCAGGAGTGGAGGCACTAGGCGGCACCATGAAACTTGCTGGGTTTGGAGTGTGACTTCTTCTTCTAGGAGCAGGAGAAGTGTGTGGAGTAATTTTGGGGGAATGGAGAGGGGAGGATCCAGCAGACAGTGACATTCCTGGGGAAGATGCAAAACAGGGTCTTAGTGGAGCAGTACATTGGTTTTAGAGGGAAAAAATCTGGAAAATAAAATGCAAACACTCATGTAGAAGAAACATTAATTTTAAGTGCAAAGAAAAAAATCTTGTTTTAAGGAAAGCTCCAATTAAAGCAAATGCAAAGGAGTTTCTTTTTCTTAATATAGTCATTTCCAAATGAATCAGCAACAGGTTCCTCCTTATCAAAGTCGACAACCTAACCCTATAGTAAGAATCACCAGAGATTTAAGAAATTAATTTAATGAAATAATGAAAACTACCAGAACCAAGACTCTTGAATAACTCTTCCTCTTAGTCTTTTAGAACTGTTCATTACTGCTCAGATGACACAATTCCCCAAATATTATATTAAACAAATTAATAAAGATCTACTAAATTCCTTCAGCCAAATATAAATAGCAAAATTTCTTGGGGGGGGGGGGAGATAAAGGTTGAAACTACATTAAAACACATGGTGGCACACTAAAGCACCTAATCTTGAACAAGGCCTGTTTGGATGCCTGTCTGTAACTCGAGATATACACTAAACAGCTGCAAACTGCCGCAGATGCGTGTCCAAGTGCAAGTTACTCAACCGCAGGCCATGGACACACTTGAACAAAGTACCCTCTTCACAGATGCTGTCGAGGAGGGAAAACCCGTGTGTTTACCCTTTGGAGTACTCCAAGCAAGCTGAGAAAACAAGACCGAGTCACATGGAACAGCACAAGATGGTTTACAAAACCGGAAGAGAAGTTATGCTGAGAACCCCATGCAGAAGAGCAGCTGAAACGGAAATGAACTAAAGCTGGGTGGAGTCAGCCACAGATTTAATGGAGGCGGCCGGTTTGAGTAGGGCTGGAACAGATGATCCAGAACTACAAGTCACACTTGTCCAGAAACTGTTTGCTATTTATTTGGGGAGTGTCTAAAAACCTTTATAATTTAAAAAAAAAAAAAGTTACCAAAATACCCTTGGCCACAGAGCTATTATTAATGGGATGTGTTTTAATTTGTAGTGTCTTGTACGACATCAAGGCTTTGTTTTCAGAAAAAAAGGTGAACGAGGCTGAGCTGAAAACTGAGAAAGGAACTCTTCTTGTCTCTGAAGAGCACTCTGCACTTCTAAAGAGCCTTAGCACATGGCATCAGAGTTTCTGAGCACCTACTGGCAGGCAGGTAGGCAAGGTATTAACAGAAAAATGCAAGCCAAAGCCTAGAAAGTTTTTCATTTAATCAAAGACACATGGACAAAGTCAACAGCAAAGCCAGGAGTCAACTCAAGCAACTGCTAATTCTCAACCAACTGCTACAACCCAGTGTCTACTGCAGTAACACTCAAGTAGATCAGAAATTTCAAATATGTCAAGAGAAACTTTAAAACTCCATAGCCTTTCAAAAAAGGGGGGGGGGAGCTTAGAATAAACACTAACTAATTAGCTAATAATATGGGCTGCATTCACAGTTTCCCCTAAAGCTAGTTTCTAAGTCTCCCTGAGAGGAAATTGCTAAGGTCACCAAAGATGAATAAATTAGTTCATTACTCTTCTGTTTACTATCAGCAATATGTGTGGTAGTAATTCTGGCTCCTACCCCATGCTAGGCACTAATCTAAATGTTTTCTGAGCATCAACCTACCTCATCTTCATATCACAGAGAGGAAACTAACTTAGAGGCCAAAAGAATTACAGGTAAAAATACAGACTGACAAGATTTAAACTCAGATCTAATCCACTCCAATTTTTGTCTCATATGAAGGAAAATAAAGAGGATTTGTAGATGCTTCAGCAGCTTCAGTGATGATTTGGCTTATGTGGGAGAAGATGCAGCTAAAGTAATGGGAAGGTCCGGGCCCTTGGTAGGTCTAGAATTAAAACAAGAATTGAGTCTGTAAGACTAAATGCATGCCACCACACACAATCCAAGGGGAGTGAAAAGGGAAAGCTGAACATGGCAGAATTTACATTTTCAATTTTGTGAAACTATTTTAATGCAAAGTTGTAGTTTGTACACGTGAGCTGAGGCTTACTAGAATTACTCAAACTGAAACTAAAACGTGTTCAACAGTGAGCATTAATTAGTACCCACATGGATACCATGCAGCTAAAGGTAAAATTACCTACAAAACTGTCACCTAGTCAGTCAAAAGGAGCAGCTACGTGTCACTCACATATTTATAGAATATTAAAGAACAGGGTGGAATTCCCACACATGTGCAATGATATACCTTGACATGCCTATTAATAAACACACCACTAAATTATAAACAGCGTGAAGGCAAACACTACATAAACAATGTGTCACACACAAGGTGCTGAACTACAGTGAACAGACTGCCTCATCAAGGAGGATGATCCACAGCTGGCTAAGCAACACCTGCAATCCCAGCACACAGGAGGCAGAGGCAGGAGGATAACTCCACATCTGAGGCCAGCTTAATCTACAAAGTGAATTTCAGGCTATCCAGAGTCACATAGCAACATACTGTCTCAAAAAAACAAAAAAAACAAACAAACAAACAAAAAAACAAACAACAAAAACCACCCCACTTTATTTAATAATAAAAAAAATCCTAGTTGAAAACATTTTGCCTTCCATGTCTGTAACCACAGCAATAATTTCCCAAAGAATTCAAAATCTACTTGATACAACAAAACAGTTTCCTATAAATATAAATTATATTTATAATGCAAGTTTTTCTTCATCAGAAATTCCATTTCATGTCAGTATCCACCTGCAATTTCTGTCTTTCCTTGAGAAGGATTACCCAGTGGTTATTACAGAATCTTGGCATTCAACCAACAGAACTGTAAATCATAGTAACTAACATGAAACAAATCAGCATAGAAAACAATTTAAAAGAATGAGAACATGTATCTTAAATACCTCAAATTAACAATATTCACCATCATAATTTCTGAATTACTGTTTTTGTCAATCATGGTCAGGGTGACACTAGTCTATAATTTCGAGCTGAAAAATAGAAGTGACTGTCAGGGGATTAAAGGTGTGCGCCACCATGCCCTATCAGTACTTCTGAAAATCTTAAGGGAAACGAAATACATGCAAATAGTGAAAAAAAAATCATCAAATTAAATGACTATAAATAATTATACAAAACAAAAGCTAATAGATACAAGATCAATCCCCGCCCCCCCCCCCAATAGAATTAGTTTGGACAACACTGCTTCTGGAAACCAAGAACACACACAATGGCCTCTTCAACCCCACGGTGGGTATGGATATGGATACCCAGTACTAGAAAAGCATGTACCACAAAGAGCTTATAATACAGCCAGGAGTAAAGCCAAAGCAGAATCTGAAAGCATTTGAAATGGAGCCTTGAGTCCATAACACATGGAGAACAGAACCTAAACCCTGTGCAAAGCAAGGATTCTGGAAAAGATGCAGACCAGTGACTACAGAGCTACAGTAGAAAGGGGACCCTGTCTGTACAGAGGAAAGGAAAGGGCAGGGGTAGATCTGAAGAAACTGGAACATTACACACTGTAGGCACCACTCAAGTTAGACTGTTCTTTGCAAATATGAACATTAGCTGTCAACCCACACACATCTCCGGCACAGGCATGAGACTCCACATTACCGAAATGCAATGGGCACACAGAGGAAGGGAGCACTACACCACCTTGACGAATGCTTCCACTGCCCACAGGGTGTGCATGCTCCCTAGGAAGTAACCCGACTTGGGAACTCAAGCATATACCAGTAATCCCACTACTCAGGAGGCAGAGGGAGGACCTTCCAGCTCAAGGCTAGCCTGTACCATGTAGCTAGAACCTGTTTCAGAAATCAAAAAGTAACAAAATCTACATACACAATATTCATGAAAATTCACTCTGATACAAAGTATCCCAGATAACATTATTAAAGAGAGCTATAAAAAATTAAATAAACAAATTACTAATAAAACAAGGGACACAAAAATGACAAACAAGGTATTTGTTCTTTGAACAGAGCAAATAAGCTCTCTAAAAGTTTAAAAAAAAAAAAAAGTAAAAGCATCAAAACTGAAAAACCTCTCAGGAGGTGGACTAAAGCAGATCAAAACAAGAAAAGGCACTGAGGAGATTAGCTAAAAATAAAACTAGAGAGTACAAAAGCTTGATTAAGAGACATAAAATATAAAATAAAGTTGGACATCCAGGAGAAAAAAAATTTCTGGAGAAGCAATATTTAATCAGAAAAAGAAAAAAACCACACATACACCTCATCAATAAATTCTGAGAAAAAGCCAGGTGTGGCTTATTAATCCTAGCACTCAGGAAGCAGAGGCAGGAGGATCTTTATGAGTTTGAGGACAGCCTGGTCTACACAGAGAAACCCTGTCTCAAAAAAAAACAAAAAAGGAAAAAAGAAAAAAAAAATCTGAGAACAAGCGCTCTGAGCAGTAAAGAACAAATCCTTTCTGCGAAACAGTCTGGGATAGTTTACATCACAAATGTCAGTAAAAGTCTAGAAAACTGAAATACTGGAAAGGGAGAGAGCAGCCAGAAGCCACTAGAACTGGTATTTGCTGGCCGTGTAGCCACTTAAGAGTAGAGGTCTGCTCAGCAAGCACAAATCTACCCAAGCACTCAAAGACAAATGGCAAAAAGAAGAAAAAAATGTCTTGTACTTTTTACTAGGAAAGCACACAAATTAAAACTTTAGGATGACCACCACACAGAATCACACCAAACCAAGTGTGCTGCACACACCTGTCATCCAAGGACTCAGGAGGGCCGAAGCAGGAGGATCACAAGCAGGGGTCAGCTTAGGCTACAAAGTGGGACCTTGCCTTGTGGGGAAGAGTAATAAAACAGAAACAAAATGCATCACATCTAATATCAACGTCATACTATATGTAAAACAGCTTTTAAAACTCCATATATCTATAGCCAGGCGTGATGGTCTTAACCCCACAGCACTTGGGAGGCAGAGGCAGGCGGATCTCTGTGAGTTTGAGGACCACAGAGGAATT